AAAAAGTCATTGTCAAGTCAAAACAATGATGCAATGACAGAGCGACACTGATGAAGCTAAAAATTGTTGTCAAACACCTTCTTTTCATTCTCAAGGGCCCAAGTCTTGGTGACAACGAATTGTTCTGAACTTGTTGACAGCGACAGGCTAAACCGATTACTTATATAGCCCTTTGAGCCAAGCAAGCCAGCAACTGTGGAAAGTTCCACAGAAGTCATGAAATTACTAGTTGCACTCACTTCTTCAACAATCCGCCTGCCACAAGCACCGCTCTCATCGCTGCTGCAAGCACTGGCACGCTCGTGGCGTTCCCGATCATAGCACCACGCTTTGTCTTGGGGATCCCCTTGGGCCAATTGATCTTCTTGAAGCCCTGCAAGAGCTCAAGCTCATGGAGGGTTAAGTACCGACGCTCCTTGAGCAAAAAGAAAGATCTGGATGCCCCCCGTGCTCGAGTGATGGTTGGTGTCGCTCCCTCACGCACTTGTCTGAACTCTTTGCCAGCACCACAGTCAACCACTGCCTCCGAAGCTCCCGTGTATGTCTTTGAAGCCCACCTGAAATTCTTCTTCGCTGTCTTGCTCTTCAACTGACGATCCCCAGGAGAAACTGTCAGAGGACGCAGGAACTTTGCGAGCTCAGGCTTCTTGCTGATCTTCGGGGTGGGATTTTTTGGCAAAGGCCTTTTCAACCCGGAAGCACTCTGGCGCACACCCAAGATGTAGACTCGTTCTCTGTGCTGCGCAAGTCCGAATGACAACGAGTTGAGCACAAAAGTTTTCAGGCGATAAGCCGGCACAGATGGTTTGGCCTTGAGCTTCGCATCCTTGATCGTCTTGATAAACTTCTTGTAGGCATCCTGCTGAGACAAACTTAAGACAATCCGATGAAATGTAGGTAATTATTATATAAATTTAGTCAATTGATCGGAAGTCATGGCCAATCATTGCAATGTCACAATGGCAACAGAACGGCTACCCTAAGGAACTTTCATTGCTAGCCACTGCAGTCAGAATCCAGTATGTTTGATTGGCCTGCTTTTTAGAGACAAAGCCCTTCACATTCTCAACCACAAAGGTTCTTGGTTGAGCTCTTGCGATGTACGTGGCAACTTTCTGGCTGAGATCTCCTGGGCTCAAACTGAAGATATCAGGTTTCATGCTTCAAACACACCGCAGCATGGCAGGCCACATAAAACAGAATATGATGGATTTAATTGAAACACCCATCCACTCATCTCATCCTTCCTTTGTTTTTCCTTCCTTCCTTCCTGCCTTCCTTCCATTCTTGTATGGTTTCGTTTGTTTACTACCTGTGCTCGTTTGTTGTATGTACCATTCATTGACTCATTATCTCACTCAGTCAGTCAACCAAACAGCATTCATATTCGTTGGTTCGTTGGTTTGTTCGTTCGTTCGTTTGATCATTCATTCATTCATTCATTCATTCATTCATTCATGCATTCACGCATTCATGCATTCACGCATTCATGCATTCATGTTAAATTTCTTCATTACTACTTATTCCTTTCGTTCATCTTGATTTCTTTTAAACAAACACAAACTTTAGTTGTCGTGGTGTTTGACTCGAAGGGGCCAAGCATCTTTTGTCAAGGCGGCCTTGGCGCTTTCCGGCACTGCTGTAAGGTTGACAAGGCATGCCCACTGTGTAAAGGTCGATGTCATGGCTAACCTTGTCACCAATCCCTGCTGCTTTCAGGATTCGCTCCGGCTGATCACAGTGGTTTCGAAGCACCTGTCGACAAGATGCATCAATCTCGGATGCGAACACGGAGCGGAAGGTTAAGCCAAGCTCGGCAGCAGCAAAGGCATCTGTTCCAACTCCGCTACAGTCGGAGGCGATCTTGATGGTAGTCTTGGTCTGTTCCACCATGTTTGTCAGCCCTGCAAGCAGCTTTTCAAGGTCTCTTTTGAGTTCACAGCCAAATCTGATAGCAGCAAGACAGACAACGACGTCAGCGACAATGATTCTAAGATGATATGAAAGCTGACTGCTTAAAAAACATGGCAGTATTGAGTGCAACAAACAAAGGCCTCATGCCTAGCAAGCAAGACTCAGTCAATGGTGTGCGTGCAGTATCAACTGTCAGAGTCACCAACAGACAAAAAGCCAGCGCTCAAAGACATACTTCTGAAGGTGAAAACTATTTTCAGGTGTGTAGCTTCCGTCTTGTTTTCCAAGATCTAAGGGTCTACCAACAGAACCTAGGCCCCCTCTCACTTGCTGCCTTTGTCAATGTTCAGCTTTCATGGCGCCTTTGCCAATCTTGAACTTTTGCCCGGCACTTGGAGCATCCCTTGTACCTGCATTTGCTGCGTCCAACTTGAGGTTCAGGTGAATCTGATTCAGGCAGGATGTTCGGAGTGTGTGTCCCCTGCTCGGATGGTAACTCCTGCGGCTGCGACTCATCATTTTTCTTACTGGGCGCTGCAGCTGGTTTCTTCAAGCTCGTTTTGCGTGTTTTGCTGGGCCTCGATGCCCCTGTCTTCAAGCCGGAGTCACTCACGCATGGCTTCTTCTTGGAAGGTTTGGATGATTTTGCAGCTGGCTTCTTCATAAGGACATCATCAGTCAGGTCGCTACTGGTACCATCACCTTCAACGGCAAAATCACCCAGGCGGTAAGTCTTCTGCGAAAGGGTTCCATGCTCAGACTGTTCGTCCCCAGCAGCAAAGGATGGCCAGCAGCTATCACTTCCATCACGCCCACCAGACATGACAACGACGAGTCAAAATTAAGACAAAAAAGCTTGCTACAACTTCAGTCACCTGGAGCCAGGACGATGTTGAATGTTAAAATTTCAGTCAAGTAGCTCAAACCCGAAACGCAACCAAGAAAAGAGATCTGAAAATGTAACGAAGTCAGCGTATCATCGGGAGAGGCGACGCCCCCCCAGCACCCGTGTCCTCTCCCAATCGGCGACGTCCCCCACTTGGAGGCTCTAGGTTTTGATATGGAGATGCGTCTGGTTTGATTGGGAGTTGATACGCCCTCTGGGAGGCGTGTCAGGTCCAAATCATACTATTTTGTTTTGATACGGGCCTCCAACTGGGCGACGTCCCCCATCGGGAGCTGATACGCCCCCTCACAGGCGTGTCGACTCCAGATCGTACAGAATTTTGGTGATGTTTAAGAAGTCTCCAAATGGGCGATGTCCCCCATCGGGAGAAAATAGCAATATTCTCCAGATGGGCGACGTCCCCCATCGGGAGAAAATAACAATATTCTCCAGATGGGCGACGTCCCCCGTCGGGAGATTTTTTTTGTGGCAAGTCCCCTCTAGGCTCAAAGTTTGCTTCTTAATGACAATGACTGGCTTCTTAGCCTTTATTCTGTAGAACTAATTAAAATCTTAGAGTCACTCCGGTGTGTGAGGTTACGCCGCAAGCAAAATGACTGGAAGCACTGAAACTGACTGACAATGATTTCGTTTGATTTGAAAGGGATCAGGGATCGTCAAGGACAATGATTGCAAGCTTAAAA